CTTCAGCCAACAGGTAATATCTTTTAATCCTCTTTTAGAAACAGATATGGTTTCCCTAGTGAGAGGTGAAGCCAGCTGGACTTCTGGGTTGGGAGGGGACTTACAGAACCTTTCTGTCTTACAAGAGGTTTGTAAAATGCACCAATCAGTGCTGTGTAAAAACACACCAATTGGTGCTCTGTGGGCATCCACACTCTGTAAAATGGACCAATCCGCACTCTGTAAAATGGACCAATCAGCAGGACATGGGCGGGGACAAATAAGGGAATAAATGCTGACCCCCCAGCATTTATTCCCCTGAGGGGACCCCAGCAACCCCCTCAGGTCCCCTTCCATGCTGTGGAAGCTTTGTTCTTTCGCTCTTCACAATAAATCTTGCTGCTGCTCACTCTTTGGGTCTGTGCCACATTTAAGAGCTGTAACACTCACCACGAAGGTCCCTGGCTTCATTCTTGAAATCAGCGAGACCACAAACCCACCGGAAGGAACAAACTCCGGACACACTAGAATGATGGTAGAGGTGATGAGGCATGAGACAGAAATAACAGGAAAGACTTTGGATCCAAATTTCTGATCAGGGAATTTACACCAAAACTTCTCCTATCCACTTAGAAAAGGCCTGTGCTCTGCGGGACTATTGGCTGTGGGAGACTCAGGAACTTGTTTTTCTTCTTCCTGCAGTGCCCTCATCTGAGTCCTTGAAAGAGGGGAAAAGAAACTGTTAGTAGAGCCAGGTTGAAAACAGCACTCTCCTCTGTCTTTTGCAGGACTCCTGAGCTGAAGTGCAGGTGACCACATTCAAGGAAGAACCTTCTGCCCCAGCTTTGCAGGATGAAAAGCTTTCCCGCCTGGCTGTTATTCTGCCACAAGAGAGGGCTTTCTCAGGACCTGGCTGCTACTGGTTCAGCAACTGCAGAAAATGTCCTCCCTTGTGGCTTCCTCAGCTCCTGCTCTTGGCCTGAATTCCCAGCAATGATGGCAGCGCCTCATCTTCAACTTTTGTGCTCCCCTTTACCTAAACCCTATGGCCTCCCGTGCATCTGTACTCACCCTGTACCACAAACACGTTACATTATTAAATGTTTCTCAAAGGTGGAGTTAAATATCATCTGCTCCATTTGGCTCCAAAGACAAAAAATGAAAAGAAAAAGGGAAGATTATTTCCCAATAGAAAAATGATTTTCATGTGTATGTCATGAGTGTGTGAGGTAATGCATATGTTAAATAGCTTGATTTAGACATTCCACACTATAGGCATGTATCAAAACTTCATGTTGTACAACATAAATATGCTATAAAATTTTTATTTGTCAATTAAAAAAGTAAACCTAACTTTTAAAAAAGCGATGCATAAAAACTGAGACCAGACTGTAACAATGAAACAAACTGGCAAACATGAGGTGAGAAAAAAGCCAGCAAGGCAATCAGAACCTTCTTCACCCCGTCTACAATATGTTGTATTTATAGCTGTAAATCAGTGTATAGTGTTTCACTCCAGAGACTTCAATAATATGGTGTCATCAAAGGACTTGTACAGATTTCAGAGAAAGACAAATTTAGAAGACGGAGGATTCTCCATTATGTTCTGAGAGTCGGTATGAAATGTCAAATCTGAAAGTACATATTTCAGAGGTCTATTTCAAAGTAATCATCATTTGAGCATAATTTCTCCACTGTCAGGGATGACTTATTTTATTTCTAATCAAATTAGAAGTTGTTTTTATACATATCTTTTTAGTTATATGTTACTTGTACATGCATAGCAGTACAAGTACATATAAATGTTGTAAGAAATATATTAAGAATATATATAGAAATTAATATATAGAAATATATTAAGCTGATAATTATGTCTGTTCTGTTTGATCACAGAGTGGCAACAAATAGGCCTCATTTCCTAAGTTGAGGAAATGATTTTCTCATTTTTTATGAGTCTTGTGGTGTGGAATTACAAGGTAGAACCAACATGTGTGGAATGAATATTTCAGTGAAGATGCGTTCTGCTGCTAATAGCAGGAAATTACATCCAGCGGGTTTATTTTTCTTCAACCCATGATCTCACACAGCCGATAGATCCAAGGCTGGGCGTCTCCAGGATTGCTCAACTCAGCAGGCCAATGGCATCACCAGCGATCCTGGAATTTCACAGCTCATCTCTCTATCACACACAGTACGTCAGCTTTCCTGAGATAGGAGGGTGACCTATGCAGCAGCTGTAGGTTTCTTATTCTTTCACGACAACTTCCAAAGGCAGAAAACAGTTACTCCTTTCTCCTGTGTGCATTTATAAGGATCAACTAAAATGTTTCCACGATGTTCCCAGTACCCACTTTCTCACAGTTGGGGTGACTGTGGGATCACACGGGCTCAGACAAGCCAGGATTCAACCTTTGCAGAGTGGGCCTGATGCACATGGGAAGAAAAGGAGCAAAATCATATATTTTTTAAAATAAAGAAATGGTGATGTAGTAGCAGAGGTTGATTGCAGTGTAGGGAAATGATAGATTGTGGTGCTATCAAGTTGTAAGTATTTGAGTTAACTTCCACACGAAGGCCTATAGATTCCTGATAGGCACCCTCAATTCAGGGGTTTGGGTTTATATATATATACATATATATACACATATATACACACACACACACATATACATATATACACACAAACACACACATAGAGAGTATTAAGTGTCAGTCATTAACTCAATTACAATAAAACAAAAAAGCAAGAAAACAGGATTGTTTTTAGAACTCAATTAAGTATGCTGATATGCTATTTTGTGAGATAAATATATTTTCCAGGGAAATTATTGAAAAAAGGTAAATAAGAAATGACTAGCTCTATAAGGCGCTAAAACATACTATACATTTACTTTTAAAAATGCATTTGTTACTGATTTTTTTTATTAAATATGCTAGTAAAACAGAGTCTAGAATTAGAAACAAAGAGTTGAGATTTAGTTTCAGTTTTTGGTAAGTTGTATTCCAAAGTCATTTCTTTCACTAAATAGATCCTGGATAAATAAAACTTGAAACATAAAGATAAAATATAAAATTACCAAGACGGATGTTATTTCTAATACTATCATTATCATTATAATTATGTTTGAAGACAAACAGACTTTCTAAACCCTTATGTGTTGCTGGTGGGAGTGTATGATTCTACAAATATCTGGTAATTTGGCAATTTCTTAAAAAGTTTAACATATGTTTGCCCTATGGCCCAGCAATCTCATTCCCTGGAATCTACCTAAGAGACATAAAAACATAGGTCCTCATAAAGATATGTGTTCAAGGGTTCAGAACAGCCTTAGCCATAGTAGGCCAAAACTGAAAACAATCCAAATATCCTTCAGCTAGTAAATGGATAAACAAAATTCTACTAAATCCAGGCAAGGCAATATCATTCAACAATAAAAGGGGACAAAAATAGACTTATCTGGCAGGGGAGAACATCAGGGTAGTTTTCCTAAGGCAAGTTTCAACCCCTGCACTCCAAATGATGAGAGATTACTTAACGGGTACAATGCATGTAATTGGGGTGACAGATACTATGGAACACTGACTTCACCAGTATGCAATCTATGCAGGTAACAAAACTACACTTGGACCTTATAAATTCACACAAATGAAAAAAGACAAAAAGAAATGAAAAGAAAAACAAAATGATGATACATACTACAAAACTGGTGAACTTCAATAATGTTAACTAAGTGAAGGAAATTGTACACAAAAGATTACATGTTGTATGATTTCATTTACTTGAAATATCTAGAAAAGGTAAATTGATAGACACAAAAACCAGATCATTGGGTGCCTAGGGTTTGGGGTCTCAGTGGGACTTAACTATAAATAGAGAAACTTGGCACATGACAGAAATGTTCTAAAATTTGATAGTTGTGATAATTGCACAAATCTGTTAATTTACTCAAATCATTAAATTTTACATATACAATGAGTGAATTTTGTAGTATGTAAATTATGCTTTAGCAAACCTGTTAAAATAATTCTTTTTTTAAAAAAAAAGACTTTGTAAACAAGACAAAATCCAGAAGACACAAATGAAAAAATATTTGAAGAAAATTACTGATTTCTTTGCATGAAGAAAATAACAAAATTAAAAGAAGTATATGATGCTCAGGAAAAATTTTGATCATGTCAGGCAAGCAATGGGCTAACTTTCTTATGAAAAATTATTAACTAATCAATAAATAAATTCATGGAAATGCCATAGATACTTGGGTAAAGGATATAGACTCACTATAGAAGAGAACGTTCTAATAGTCGATAAACATAAATATTTGCTCAAACTCACCAATGAACAGAAAAATCCAAATTCAAACAGTAATGTAATAAACTATTTCTCCCACTCCAAAATTGGCAAGTACAAGAGTTTGTTTTAAAATCAAGGATTAGAAGATTCTAAGGGAATAGGCTCTCTCATATTATTAGGATTTTGAGTTATAGCAGTGTAGTAGTATCTATTAAAACTCAAAATACAATTGTTACATGCTGATGAAAACAACAAAAATCTCATTCTAACCATCCATCTTAAAGAACAATCCTACATGAGCCCAGGGAGACATAAAATTGGTCGTTTGTTGAGCCATAGTTTCGAATAACAAAAACATTTCCAAATTCAAAAAGAAAAACCGATTAATTTCCCTTGATTATAAAAATTTTGTACATCCTAAAAACTATGCAGTATGTGAAGTGACAGCACACTGCAGGGTAACATTTGGTGCTGTGTGGGGCACTGTGAGCACAGACTGGTGTAACCCTGTGAGTAGTTTGGATAATACAGTATTTCCGCTCTAGGTTGTTACAGTCTCCATAAATTCTTCCTCATATGTCCATGATGACACATAAAAAATGTAACGGGGAGAAAAGAAACATTCTCTACATTTAGATAGAAGAAAGGTAAACTGTGGTATAGCTGTAGAAAGCAATAATATTCAGGGTTTTAAGTAAATTATGTAGAACTATCAACATGGATTGGAAAAAAATCATAAACCATAATGCCAGTAGGAGTTGGAAAATTACAATTGTCACTGTTACTATAAGAGCAAAAAGGTGTATAGACTAAACTAAATGGATAAACTGGAAAATAATCTTATTTTTAAAATTTTAATGAACCATAGATCAAAAAGTATAAAAATTCCAAATTCCGGAGATGAACGAATTCCACTTAGGTGAGCAGGGACAAGTGTCCACTCATTCTTCGGTCCATCTACTGAATCTTAACATTCAGGAAGATTGAGCCTGGCTGAGAAAGGGAGATTGTGAGGGACTGAGGACAAACCAGCTGAGTTGCAAAGAGCCCTGTGGGCTTGTGTGCTGCATTACAACCTATGGAGACCCCCTGAATAATATATATCTACTTTACCCTGCCAGCTGTTTCTTCTTCCGGAACTTTTTCTGACTTTATTCTGGTGGTGTGGGAACTAGGGAGGTAGATAGAAGACAACAAACATCTCTGTAGCTTCGTGCAAACAAAGATCAGGAAGGAAATCAAGATAGGAACAATCTTTCAACCATCTTGACTTAGTTGGCATTTATAATTGACATCAATTGACCACATCTGATAACTACAGAATATTTATTTATTTACATTTCACAAAGATAATCCATGAAATAAAACAAATACTATGACTATAAAACTAGTCTCAATTACTTTTACAAGAATAAAATCATACAGAGTATATTCTCTGAACACAATCTTATCAAATTACACATTAGCAAGATTGAGAAAACTACCCAAATTTTTGGAAGTAAAATAATACATTTCTAAGTAATGCATGGCTTGTCAAAGAGGTAATCTGAAGGAAATAGAAAATAATTTTAAATAAAACAATACAAAAATGGATTTTAAAAATTTTCGAGATGCAACCAAGGCAGTCCTTAGAAAAAAATATTTAGTTTTAAATGCCTGTATTATAAAAGGATAAATATATAAAAATCAAAAGTGTAAACTTTTAACTTAATAATAAGAAAAGAAAATTTAAGTTGAAAAAAGTAGAAGAAAAAAGCAAAGAGGTGAAGAAATCGATAACATTATTCTCTTGGTTTTGTTTTCTATTTTTTAATGATAGAGCATAATTATGTT